AAGTAGAGAGAATAGGGTATGGGAAATAATGGTTCTCGAAACTTGAAGCATTGAAAAAAGAGTTTTCGTAAATTGGTCCAAATTTGAAATTCAAAACTCATAACAGACGTAGATAATCGATTATCTTAAGTGATAATCGATTATTACAGAGTCATTCTTGCAGAGGAGTAAAACAGGATCAGGATAATCGATTATCTGACTATCTTGAACTCTAATTTTACAGACTCAAAAAGACAAAACAGAGTTATTACAAGTAAATACAAATGATTATAAGTCTTTAAGTCTTTAAGTCATTTGTTTTTTATTCATCATCAAAATCTTCAAACTTCATATCCTTGTATGTTTAACAAGTAAGTCATTTATAAATTTACCTGGTCATAAGTAAGTGTATACACCGAATTGAACATCCTTGTATTATTCACTTAAGGGAGATGTGGTGTAACAGGTATATATCTCTTATGTCTATTTCATTACCTAATCTTCTGGAAGTTGTCTAGTGTCTGTGTGACATAAATGTGAGCTTGTATAGACATGTGATATGATCTATGAAAACTTGAAGTTAAATTATGTTATTTTATCTCATAGAATATTATATATTTAAATTGAATTGCTAGTTTATCTTATATATTTTGTACGTGTTTTTAATTGTGATGATAGTATATTTACACACAAATAAATTTTATAGGTGATAACCTTTAACATGAATAAATATTAAATTAAAAATAATATAAATTTATTTTTTATTTATTTTTAAGTGATATATATATATATATATATATATATATATATATATATATATATATATATATTATAGAGAAATAATTTATATTTTGAACCGCATCTCAATTATGGGTTGTTAGAACAAGTACTAAAACTCGTATAATTTCCCTTTTACAGTCTACTTCAGCATAATTACCTCATAGTTGTCAGTGGATAATACACTGTCGAAACATTGACGTCACATTGATGCATCATCCACCTATTTTCATGCTCTTTACAGGGTAAAGTTTTGAAAAAAAAAAATTGAAAAAAGATGTGATAAGAACAAATTCAAATTAAAGAACATTTGTTGTAACAAAAATCTTTATTAACAGATTTTTTCATAGATACAAATGTTGATAATCATACTTATCGATGGACCTATCGATAATTACTTATAAATACAAAAAAATTCATTAATATTTTTTAGTGATTTTACTATTGAAATTTGTTTAAAAGCTTATTTATTGACATATATTTTATATCGGATTTTGATTGTTACTAAATCCTTATTTTCTTACAATACAATATTTTAGAAAAAAACAATTTTTATTATAATTTTTTTAATAAATATATTATTTAATAAAAGATAATGTATTTTATATTTTTAAGAGATTTATATTTATGTATATATATATATATTTAATATTTATATTTTAAAATATTAAAAAGATTAAAATATTATATCAGTTATAATATTTTTAACATGTATCTACTTTCTCTATGATCTATATCTTTTTTTTTCCTTAGTGCTTAATAAAAATAAATAAAATAGAGAAAAAAATAATAATAATATCATTTTATTAAAACATATACATGTGTAACTAGATTTCAGAAAAGTCAATATATACAATTTTTTTAAAAGGTTTATAATATATTTTTTTAATAAAATTTAAAAGAGTTTTTTTTTTCTTTACTACGATCCCTGTCCCTTTGCATGTGTTATAAATAAAATTAGTTTTATTTATGTGATTAGGTTTTTTTAAAATTGTTTTTAATTTTTAGATCTATACTTATTTTCTTAATTTTTTAAACAAGACAATATAGTTCTTGGTCGAACAGGTAGCATAACTTAACCTAAAATTTAGGGTCCGTTTGGAATATGGGCTAGCCCAACTTATCACTAATTTTAAACTTAGCCCATCAAAGTAGTGTAGTCAATGTGTTTATTGGATAATATGGAAAGTGATTACCTTTGTTTAGTGATTATTGCCTCACTCCACAGATTTTTTAACGTAAGCCCCACAAATTCATCGTAAAAAAGTATATATTGTTTCGTTAAAACGGATATATTTCATTATATTTAAATAATAACATAATTTTATTAAATCTTAAAATATATAATTTTTTTACTTAATTAATCTCGTTCAATATTATATATATAAAACAATGTGAGATTTTCATTTGAAAGAAAATATATAACTTGTGGATTTTTATTTTCATTAATTACAACGTTGAGTCTATCTATCGATAAAACTTGCAGAAAAAAATTTATATTGAATGTTGTACTAACTTCACCTTAAGAACGTGTTCTTATCTAAACAAGTGCCAAACCTCTATCTCTCTCTCTATATATATTTTCTGATTTTATTAAAATTATTATTAAGTATTTAAATTTTTTTATTTTGTTTCTCCTAATTTTATATATTTAAATCCGTTAATCACTGCTTTATGATGAACTTGTGTATAATTGAGAGTGTATAAATATATTATTTGACTTGAAAATAAATTACCCTCACCAATTTAAGGTTTTAGATCTGCCACTAACTCCAATCATTACATCTTAATATCAAGATTATACAAGTTTCAACAATCTCTAATGAATTAAAACAATAATCTCAAATATATTTGAATGATTAAGTTAAATACTACATAAATAAGGAATAGTGGTTAAAAAAAAATAATGATTTAAAAGTTTTGGTTGTCATAATTATCATTGAAAATTATAAAATTCATGATTATTTTGACTCGTAGTATGTTATGAATACAACTATAACTATATTTATAATTATTATTATATGTTAAATATTTTACATAATACATCTATAATTTTTTACTATTTTTTCGATGTTGTTTTTAAGTATAGCATCAACACCAATAAAAGCTTTAAAAATCGCATGAAGCATGTCTTTAATATAATAGTTTCCAACTTGTTTTTCGTATAAGATTCATCCAAAAGAATGTAATGTGAATTATTTTTTTCCTACGTGAAAAAGTTAAAAATATCACGATAAAAATATATAATTTACAAAAAAGAGAAAAATAAAAGAAAAATAAGAAAAAATACATTCTTATTATCGTTTTCTCTTATAATGAGGTGAGATATATTAAAGATATTTATGGTATAAAAAAATACTTAGAAAAAAAAAGAGAAGAAGTAAAATAAATATTAAGAATTCAAAGACAAAATAACCTAATTATAACAATTAATTAAATATGTAATTACATTATTATATTATATACAACAATAATTATAAAATAATCATCATTAAATTTTTTTATTTAAATATACAATAAAGATTCATTTTATAATTATTATTATATATTAAAAAGTTAAATTTAATTTTAAAATTATCGAAAGGATTTTTAATTAATCATAATTAGAAATATGTCATTTTTTAACTAGCACAATTATTATGGATTTCAACCAAAAATTTAAATTTATAATCACACTCTTCCTAAACCTCCAAGAGGGAATAGTGGCAACTATAATATATGGATATTATTATGAATGATGATTTTATTTTTTTAACTTCATTAAAAACTTATTAACTTGTAATATGAGAACATTTTAAAAGAACGTATTATTATTTTCGTCTATTATGTGAGTTAATTTTTAAAAGAATTGAAAATTTAAAACTGAATAACATGTATAGGAAACATTTTATAAGAATTATTTAAATATAAATAAAATGACCAAAACATATTTTATGATATTATTAAAATATTAAATAAATATAATAAATTAATTTAACGATATAATTAATTATATACTATAAGTATTAATACAAATTAACAACATAAATTTAATTTTTTATTGACATGTAAAACGTGAAAATGTCTTTTTCTAGCTAGAAAATCACGCTTTTGCTATCTTTTTACTGTTTTTCTCTTTAATTTATCATATTCCATATGCCAAATGAAATGTGAAAGTGTGGGTCTTATTTAGATTTGAAAATCAATAAACGTATTTACGTTTTTTTGAGTGGGTTTATGTAAAAGTCAACGCATCTTGTTCATTAACGCGTTTAATTAAAGAAACTTCTCCGTAACTCAGTTGAACAGCGGTTTCATAATTCCGGACAACCTGCTTGTGGTGGGTCCACAGTTTTGTAGTCTGGAACATTTTCCGAGGATTATTACGTGAGCAATAAATATTAAATAGAAGACCCTCGGTTTGCAAGTATATTTATCTGATTAACAAATTTATCCTAAATTAAATATCTTCCGCCTAGGAATGATTGGAGGCCGGAATCACAAAATTAGTTTTAGGGACCGGTATAATTTTTTTAGTGCAACCATAACATATATATTGTTCATGTAGAACTCTAATTTATTGTGATTATATTTAAAAAAAAATGTTTTGATGATTAAGAAAAAAAAACGTATATAAATTATTTTTAACTTTAATTATTAAATAATGTGAAATTTATGATTGTATAAAAATACAAATTCTCATAGTCAAGAAATAAAAAATATATAAGTGGTGTGAGATTATATTCTTCGTCTTACAATAAATATTAATATTTTATTTAAAAATGAGAATGTGATTGAATAGATTAAGATAAACACTCTTCTAATTTTAAACTTGTAAAAAAAAATTACAAATTAATATTTTTAATATCTTAGAAAACATTGAATTTAAAATATATATTAAATGTGTATTTTTTACTATGCAACTTTATTAATTTCAATTTCTTAATAGTACAATAAATGACAAGCAAGTTTATGAAATAAAAAAAATATCACTATAATTATGTCTGAAATTAATAAAAAGCATATGAATGCAATTTACACATCAATGTTTATGAAAAATGACATTAAGATTTTAATTTAGAAGAAAAGCAAGTTACGAAAATCTCCTCTCTGCCGGTTTTGTCCAAATGACAACAAGACATCCTAGTTTTGTTCTCTCTTGAAAGAGAGTCTTGCCTTTCCCATTTACTTGTGACCTAATAGTGTTGGTGTTTTCATTTGTTTAGTATTGGACTTAACTTGTTTCTCTCTTTGGTCAATCACAAATGGATGGTTTACACAACAACATGGAAAGAGAGTTTGAGGCAGACAACCTTTCTATGTTCTTTGACTGTAACGACGACCACTTCGTACCAACATTTTTACAATCCGAGGGTCCCCACTCTGCTGTGCAAGATCTAAATTTAATGGAAAGTTTTAATTTTCAAACTGATCTGCCTCCTGTAGCCCCCTCTGCAGTAAGCATGAAGTTGCCTCTTGTTCTCTTACATTTCAATGAAATTTTGTAAATCTTACTGCATATGTATATATCATTTTTTCAATATATGGTCATACAGAATTTGTTCAGGAAGGAAATTAAAAGGAAAAAATTTTTAAAAAGAGAAAAAGGAAAGAAAAAGTGAGTTTCATTTTTTAGTTGTTTAGTGATATAGTTTTTCTGTTAGATAATTTTTTATTACAAAAGATTATCTATTTTTTTAATAAATGTGTTTTAAATATTTTTTATTTATATAATAACCAAAACCGTGATCTAAACAAACAATTAAACATTATTTTAGTTTGTTCTTATTCAATATCAAATTAAAGTTAAATCCATCTTTGGTTTCACAGACTGTTCAACATAAAATTGAATCAAATAAAGCCTCAAACATCATGTTTTCTAGAATGTAATGATGCCAGAAGGAGTAAAGAACTTATGGTGCATATTTTTCTTGTTTCAAATCTGTTTTATTATGTTTCTTTGTTATTATTGTCATTTATCTACTTTTTAAGCTCTAATAATGTATGTGTAACCACCCCAATGAACATAATTGTGCTATGATTAATTCAATTTTTCTTTTGAAAACATAAGCAACTCATGTCACATTAGATGGAACTAGAAATGTTTGTTTATGCACATTTTTATTGTTTGTCAATTTATATGAATTATCCAGGTTGTGGAATCAATAAACGAAGCACAAGCACAGACTCATGTTCAACTCATGGATCCAACGTCTTGGTTTCCCCAGGGACCCTCAAGTGAAATGACTTTCACTTTTGTTCCTAATCCGATACCACCTTCACTACCAAACACTTCACTTCTTAATGGAACACAACCTGGCCAACCTCTATCCACCATGGTAAAGTAATATTTTTGATAATTTTCTAAAAACATCAATTCAAACACACAAAATTATTAAATATGGTATATCTAATTTTTTTTATTGCATATATATGTCACTTTCTTTATTGCATAATTTAATTAGGAGGGCTTGATGTTGGATGGAATGGGTCCATGTACTCTAGGACAGGATATGACCCAAGCTGGTTACTCCAATCAATTTTCAGACTTGCCAAATGAAAATTCGCTTGGGTAAGTTTGTCATTTCATGAACTAAAATGTTAATGAAACACATTATTTGTTTGCTAATTTTGAGAGCATATATATTCTGCATTCCTATGTTACAGGCTTCAAGGTATTCATTTTTACAAGGAAATCTTGAGCAATCAACCTTCCATACCAAATACACTCGAAATCAATAATTTCAATGCTATCAATATTATCCATTCATCTCCTAAGCCAGCTCTGATACACCCAAACCCGGTGAGTATAAAACATGTTTTCCCAAAACTAAGGTTGCACTACATGCTCCACAGTCTTTGCTTTTTCTGAACCTTATTGACCATATATTTTTTTTGTTAATATCTGAACTTGTATGCAGGTGCAGGCAGGGCCAGGGAATGAAACATACTCAAGTGGACTATTTGTACCACCAGAAAGATCTGTGTTTTTTCCGCTTCACAATGATATCTGTAATTCTAGGTGTTCTGTGTCTTCTTCTACTTCTATTTAATCCTTACCCAGTTATCCCTTCCCTTAGAAATTATGAACCCCACAAGACAACAAAATTGTGCGTCTCACATATGGACCTCACCTCTTTGTCAGTGTGAGACTCACAATTTTGTATCTTCCCTAATTGTGTTTTGAAGCTTATGTTTGGATGCTTCCGTATGCTGACGTTCAATTGATTATGGATTTTTAACAGCTGGCCAGAACACACAGAATTCTCCACTCCTGATATCTATGTTGCACAACCCTACTACATGCAGTATGATTCCATTCATCTGCTACTAATTGCAATTATACAATTAACAAGTTAACAACAAAATGCATGAACTGTTTATTTTTTATTCAGGTCATTCACCACAGTGCATAATCAAGTTGGCCATGACTCTCAGTTGCAGCTTATTCTTGATTTACAATCTCAAAATTCTATTAGGCCGGTCAACCAAATGTACCCTAGGTATCTAGATAGTACTTCACTTTTTCTTGTTTGGAAACATTCTTTTACATGAATTCACCATTTATCATTGACAAATTTATAGTGTTATCATTGACAAATTCACCATTTAACAAACCAGCATAAAGTACCAAGCATGTATTTACTTTCCTTTTTGTCTTAGGTTGGAGCCATATGCAAATATTGACCCTGGTTTTGTCACAATACCACCAAATCCTAATGAACAAGGTTGTAGACCTGTGCTGCCTGAGCCTGCAGTTCCTTCGGCGACCTCACTTGCTAATAATGGTCCACAATCTAGCTTCTTCGCGACAAGCAATTCCTATGGATCCAGATCTTCAGTAACTCCTTCCAATGAAATGTTTGGCCTCAATTTTCCAATCTGGTTACTAGTTCACCAAAAAATTGCCATATATAGAGAGAACTATATAATTACATTTGATTACTTTATCTAAATATTGTATTGATTTACTTGTTACTTTGCAGAGATGTCAAAAAATAGTAGGAAAGTAAAAAAAAAAAGTCTCTTTAACGAATGCATTAATATAAAATATATTGTTTAGAGGGAAATAAAAAAAATTAGGCATAAAATTTTTAGATAAACAATTTAGAACAACTTTTTTTAATTGCAATTATTTTAAAATGGATAAATATATTCATTTATCAAATATAATTGTATTTAATATGTTAATATAAAATTCTCTTATATAGCAGGCATTTCCCATTGTATGCAAATCAGGATCAACACCAACATCCCCAAGTCATGACGCCTAATGATCAAGGACAGCAAAGTAGTGCCTCAATGCAACAGTGGTGAGCAACCAATTTATCAATAACCATTAATTAACACTCTCCACTAGAACAACACAATGACATTTTTTTTCCCCAGAAGTGATATAATAATTTCTACATGATATATAAAAAAATTTCGTTAATTTTCAAATAAAGGTCCCAGGGTGTGCCAAATCAGATCAGTAAATATAATCAACGGATGAATACTCCTAATTCACGACAACAGAATAGCACAAGTTCTCACTCCACTACAGGATCACGCTCTCGAGTTTCTAACTCCAGAAAGGCTAAGATTGCACCAAATTTAAGGTATCATATATTGTTTTTTATTTGGGATATTATTTTTTCCATCTGAAACAACAAAGATTATCTTTATCTCAATGTTTTACTGTAATTTTGTCATTCATGCGTCAAAATTTTACATGATTTTTTAAACAGTACAGTAAAACCAAAAAACACTCTTTATTATGGTCTACAATTTCATTTTCTCAGTTAAAAGTTTAATAATAACACAAAAAGGTTGATCTAGAGTACAAGAAGAAGCTGCTATTCCGAAGAATGAAGTCCCGGCTTGTCGGGACAAAGGAAATCTTATGGGAACTTCATCAACTAGGTAATTTACTTTAGTTTGTGATTTGTCTTGGGCATTACATTTAATGAGGACATTGATTAGTGAACATTGGACATGTTCTTATTTTCATGGTTAATTTCTGCATAGGTCCCAACCTTCTGAAGCGATAAGAAGGATTCTAAATATGAATCCTTCGCGGTTGGTTAGCAGTTTCACTGCTGAACAAATTCAAAGCAAGCAACAAATTGGAACGGTACAAATAATCAGAATATGTATTTTTTTTATATCCACGAGTTTGAGTTATAAAATATGTGAATTTCTACACTGTTCTCAATTGGGAACTCGTAACTATGATCTTCGTAGTTTTCATTAAGAGAGATAAAATCTATATTATCATTTTCTCATAACCAGATGTTTTGTGTGTCCATGTGAATAGAGTTTTTTTCTTTCCTTAAAGACAACCATTCTTGGAGACAACTAAACATGAAAAAATGGATGTTGTACGACAGCAGGTACGTTATCAACCACCATCTCCTGGTCGCCCTTCAAAACGAAGCTATAAAGAGTCATATTTTCAACGTGAAAAGGTAAGATTTACTTGACTTTGCAAAGAGTAAACCGTTAGTTTGATTTCTGAACAAATAACATACTATCTCATTAGTTTCTATAACATTTTTTTTTAAATAAGTCTTGAAATACTTTGCTAGCGTGATTATATGTTGGTTTGTTTTACTGTGATGAAGTATATGAACCCTAGAATGAGATGTTGCAGTTCTTCTGCTTGGTTTGTTTTGAGTAGTGGCCGATGGTGTCTTCCGGAATAGGAAATTCTGTAACAACTCCTGCAACATCCCAACATACTCCTGGCAGTGTATTGATTAAAGATCGAAATGCCATACCCACTAACCACCCCTTTCCTCCTAGGTAGACTGTGCTGTTCAAATGTTAATACCTTTGCTTCTCTTTCTCACCATACTTTCCACATTTAACTCTCACAACATGAGAGTGCTGAAGAAACTTAAATTTTCATGGTTCTGAATTTTCAGGCAATTTGTAAACTCTGTCTATGACATAGAATATGAGAGGAAAGGTCATCCAATTGACCCTCATCTGAGATTATTCAAATCACCACCAGGTATATTACAATTCTCTAAACCACACTTTTCTTTTATTAGACACCAGTTGCAAATGAAGAAATTTAATAAGATTTTTCCAGTAATAATGTCTTGTAATTCAACAAATTTCTAATAAGTTAGAGTTGATATCATTATAGAAAAATTATATTGCAAGCGACTATTTATTGCATATTTTGAGCTGAAATCTTCATAATCTATGACAAATGGTATTTTTCTTCATGCAGAGAAATAATGTTCCTGGAATGTTAGGATATGAGACTAGCTTTCTCAGCAGTTAGATTGGAAGATTTTAATTTGTATCTTTAAAAACTCATTATTTTTAGACAATTCTCAGAATAGAAACAATGGCTAGCTTTCATTAATCTTATTTATACATATAAACTTTGACGTAACTCTAAGAAAAAAAGGTTATACAATGTGCAAATAGTCTGTTTGCTAATGTTGGTTTCTTGTAAACTAGTTTTGCAAATGAGTGCTGCATAACTTTATAGTTTTGGCTTGTGTTAATGTTTTTTGGGCCAACAGCCAGACTAAACCCTAAAAGCATATTCACTGTTCTACTGAAATAGAATAATCTTGATGTGTTCTTGGTTTTCACAAATCATTGTCAATAATTTATTTTCCTTGAAAAGTGAGTATCCGAGAGAAAAAAAGAAATTATTAACAAATATGTTGAGTTTCTTAGTTTAATAAATAATAATAATTAAAATAAATTTACTTCCATATTTTAAAGTTTTCTAAAGTGTTTTTATTTATTGAACTATTTTTCATATTTAGAAATTGAGATAATTTAAATTGAGTTTGATTATTTTTAATATATATTTAAAAATTATAAAATATTTTTGTATGAATTGTAAAATATAAATCATTACTAACAACAATAAAAAATATTCTTACTTTTAATATTTAATAATGTATAAAAGAAACCAAAAAGCCATATTATTATATAATATTAAATTTATTAAATTGTTTATTTGTTAATAAAGGGCATTTTTTCGTAATAAAGAAAAAAAAAGTGAAAAGGACTACAACCTGTCAAATAGGTTCACAAGTAGAAATATGGCTTTACACAAGTTTGTGGCATCTTTTGTGATTTATTTAAACATTTTAGATTTTGTTTTTAAACAAACCAGTTTTTTTTATTTTTAAACTTTGTTTATATACAGATTTAGAACTAATCCTTAAATAGATTACTATTAGAAAAAACACATTTAGCGATCGAAATTAGCGATCAATTTCTAGTCGCAATTAGCGATCGATTTAGTTACTGATTTTTTGAATAACTAAAATTTATAAAATTAAAATAAAATTGTTTTTAATTAAAAGTGTAGAAATAAAAAATTACTTTAAAATAAAAGAGTGCAGTAATTAAATTTAAATTTCTGAAAGCAATAACTCTAAAACTAAATTACGTAATTGGAATTAGAAATGAGACGAATTGAAATTAAAAATTATGTAATACTGGAATAAAAATTCTAAACAATTAAATAGCAGAAATTAAAATGACTACTTAATAAATAAAATAACTAGAACAAGATAAACTGAAAAATTCAATAGAAACAAATTAAATAAAAGATAATAAACCAAAAAACTAAACTACGAATTGAGAGTAGGGAAAGAAAATGGGGACGAGACAAAACAACAATTCTCACCGCAGACTAGGAGATTGTGATTGTGGGTTGTCGTATGACCTCTATTTATAAGGGTTTGAACAAGAGAAATTAAGCCTAAAATTACTTATAATAAAATCAAATATTTCTCAAATAAATAATTGTAAAATCTCATCGTTGTGAAGAAAAAATTTTAGGATTGATTTGAAGAAATTAGTCTCGCTTCTTTCCTATTTTGAGTGATCCAACACCGATTTGCATTTAATTTTTGATTCCTGCTGGCCTTTAATTAAACTAGATTGGATTCTCACACCAGTTAATTTGCTTGATTCAAAATTTTTATTTGTAATGTTCTGTAAGTGGGCTGCATAAGCAAACTTGGACTTCCAAGAAGAGTGAAGTTTGACGGTTTTAATTTGGACATTTCTTTTCATCACTTTGACCCATCTCAAATTACCTCTCCTACAAAAGAATAAAAAGAAATATACAATGTGGATGTATGCATGTATATTATTTATTATGCTAAAATTACGTAAAATATAACAAATTAAGAAAAACTGAATTATGGTATGCTTTTAATGGAAACATGTTAAATGCATGATTTATGAATATAATAACTAGCTTAGAAAATGATCTTAGATCAAGAAATAAAGAGTAAAATAACATACATCAAATACTCTCCACTTTTACTCTTTTGCACTTTCAAGCAAAAGATAAAAGAAAAAAAAAAAAGAATAGAATAGATGCAATGCAAAGATGGATAATGTTGTAAACGTTATTGACATCCTGAAAACTTCAATAGTCAAGGAAAACTTCATCAACCAAAAGTGGGAGAATAAAAAAGATCAAGATCATAACTCACAAAGTATTATCATGGTCAAGTACTCTTTAAGGATTCCAGGACTCATTTCAAGGGAACATCCTCTCGTGATAAAATATTTACTCTAATATCTCAAGTGTTTATGCTGAAAATTTCACTCATCATGTCATCATGACATCATCCTTTACCATAGGCTTGAAAAATCTCTAAATTTTCATCATTAGAACACATACCTTCATAGATCAAGAAGACTTTTACTTGATTTGTAACGGGGCTAGGGTTCAGGGTAGGTTATTTTAGGAAAGTGGGCTAAGACTTTAGGAAAAATGAAAACATGGATCAATGTATCGTGAAACTTTGTTCCAACTGCATCTTTCTGTTTTGTCACTTTTATGTTAGAGTGTGTTTAGAGCTCGCTTTGACACAAACCATTTTTTTTTCTTTTTCTTGACACTTTTTTTTTAAGATTTGTTGGTGATGAGTAGAATTAGATTTTTGTGATGATTCCACACTCCTTACTTCCCTTTAAGTATGAGTGTGGGTAGTTTTTGTGTTGGAAATACTTTAATTGTCGGGTTTAAATTCAAGAAAAGGCTAAGTAGTTAAGATAAAGAAGACTTAAATCATATCTATTGGTATATATGCTCATCTGGTGTCACAAAGAAATCAATCAAGTTCTGGAAGGTTTTCATGTCATGAGTGGCACACACAAAAATGAATAAGGCTCAAAACTCACCTGGGTGCTTTGTTCACCTTGAAATTAATCCAAACCAATGTTAATGTAACCCGACCATGACTTCCTATGTGAATCAAACCTTTCAAACTTTGAACTCTTCCTCTTGATCAAGTCGGTTATTGTTAAGTGGTAAAAATTTGATATAATTATACCTTGAATTATTATGAAACCACTTAACTGATGCTAATTCTAATATATTTTTCTTCCAATATAGGATGAATTCAAGAATACCTTGATACAAGAGTAAGGAGCATGATTGACAGCATAATTGGAGTAAAACTGGAAGAAGATTTTCAGCATGGAAGTCGCTCAAGCGGGATGGATTCTCGCTTGAGCGAATGTTAATTATTCTTCTCTGGAATTCACTCGCTTAAGCGAGCCAAGATTCGCTCAAGCGAATATCAGTTATTCTTCACTGGAAGTTAGTCGCTCAAGCGCAGGAAAATTCGCTTGAGCGAATGTTAGTTATTCTTCTCTGGAGTTATTCGCTCAAGTGAGCATTTTGTTGCTTGAACGAAAATAGGCTACTTTCGCTTGAGCGAAAGTTCTCGCTTGAGCGAAAGACGCGAAACTCAAAAGCCTAAATTTTCCAATAAAAAAAGAAGATGTGTTTTGAGAAAATCAAGCGATTTTGGAGGAGAAGAGGCACGACTACTGCTAGGGTTTCATCCAATCTTCATCAATTCTTCACTTCTTCCACAATTTGAGCATTGTAATGGTCAACATGAGTGGCTAACTTCATTGTCTTAGGATTCGATGCACTTCCTTTGAACTCTTTTGTATCATGGTGATATTTTGAGATATTAATCTATGTTTTGATATTGTTATTCTTATCCTTTATGCTTTGGAATGATTTATTCTTGATTGTTTGAGGTATGATTGAAAAATATATCTTGAACCCTAGATCACGGTAAGAATATTTGTTACGTTAATTGTCAAGAATGGAATGAATGTATCAATTGTTTAACACCCTAAACCTAATGCTGGGAAATCTCTTAATTGTGTGAGAAATCAACATTTATTAGGTTTTCTTATGAATTTCATGTGTGAGGAATCAACATGGATGAATTGAGTAGGTGACATCAACATTGTTAGGTTAATTGATGTTCTTAATTAACAATCATTACAAAAGAGGGATAAGGAAGGAAACGAATCCTAAGTACCTTTAATTGATATTTTCTCTACAATTTATAGTTCTTTGTTATTTAATTTCAATTCAACTCTTATTTGAAAAACCCAATCTATTTTAATCCACTTAGTAAGCATATAATTGAGAATTTCTATTGAAATTGTTCCTCGTGGGATCAACTTTTCTTTAATCAAAATACTATACTGCGATTGATAATTTTGGTACGTTTGCCAATAATTCAATAGTAGCCCCCTCCACCTCTTTAATCTCCTCAATATCTTGAAGGTAACTTTGATTTCAGGATTGAATATATGTGGTTCACCTTTCTTTGTTCGGGTCATGCACTATTAAAGGTCCTACCGAAATACAAATAGTAGACCGTGAATAAGTACACCAGGTAGGTTCCCAGGAAAGAGAGGTGAGTCACTAATGGACATGCTTAAGTATTAATTTTTTCCTAACCACAACCCTCCTAGACATGTACCCTCACACTACCAAGTTATATGCAGAATTTCTTACAATAGTGGTTATCGAGCACTTCCTACAAGATTTGTTATCTAGAATTTCTTACAAGAAAACGATATCTATAATTTCCTGCAATAATGGTTAGGGAGCACACAAAAACACATTATAATAACTTTCTCTTTTTTTTTGGATATTTTTTTTTAATTTTTTTAAAATAAAGCTAGAAAAAGAAAATAAAAAAATGATATTAGACAATATTACGCAACACAATTGTGTCCTCGACAACAACGCCATTTGATAACAATATTTTGGTCGCACAAAATACTGATAAAAAATAATAAACAAGTTGCTAAACTAATGCAATATAGCTAACCCGTGTCAAATTCACAAGAACACAATTATAGGAACATACTCATTATCACATATCATTCTCTCTAAAATAGCAAATAGAGGATGAATGAAAGAATAAAAAAGAAATAAATTGATATAAAATAATAAAAATTAAAATAACATTGCTATAAAAAATTGACGACAATTAAATAGAGACAAAATTTGAATAACTATAATTTATAAAATTAAAATAAAGTGCTTTTAATTAAAAGTGTAAGAATACAAAATTATTTTAAAACAAAAGAGTGCAGTAATTAAAATTAAATTTCGAAAGCGATAACTCTAAAACTAAATTACAAATTAGAATTGGAAATGAGACGAATTGAAATTGAA